TAAATCCTGCATTACCTTAAGGACCCTAAACTATGCGAATTATGGTATATTCCTTATTATGGGTAATGCAGGATTTATACCATCAACCGAAGAACCTTACCTGATACCGTACACAAGCCAAAACCCTCAAGACCCTAATCTGAATACAATATCAATGGCATACAAAAGATATGTGTGTATACACATTTTAGTCATATAAACATATAAATACATAAAAATACATAAAAACACGAAAAATACACAATCATAATGATCCATATACTGGTCGTAGCAGTAATCATCATTACACCATCATACTGTATTCACATACTAGTAGAAAATGTGAAGTAACAACAACCACAAACCTAATAACCATACTGATAATACGAGCATTTGATACTATGAAACGATAGCAAAAAACCAAGAATACTAGTCATCACAACAAGAACAAGAAAGATAGCGAAGAAAAATGATGAAGAACAGGTTATCAAAAGGTCCCACCTGGTCTTCTCGATCCGCACGGGCCCCACATGCAGCGCCAGATGGGCCGGGACCCTGCAAAGCCCAAGCGCCGGCTGCGGCGCCCTTGCAGGGAGGTTAAGGGCTTCTCAGAGTCCAGGGTTTAGGGCTTAGGGTTTGGGTTTTTGATGGCTTCTAGGGTTTAGGGTTTACCGAATTTCGGCTCCGTAGTGCTACTCATGATGATGGTCGTGGTGATGACGACGATAGCACCGGACACTGCAACAGCATCAGAAGCAGTGGCAGCAAGAATCACAGCAGCAGTAACACTGGCAACAACTGCGGAAGTGCTCACCTTCTCGTTATCATCAGCGAGAACTTCGTTGTCATACTCACCTCGATTCTCATCCTCGCAACATTCACCACAGTATCCCTCTCAGTCAGTTCAGTGCCGAAGGTGCTACATGCAGAGTGTTGCATCTCAATGTGGGAAGTAGCAATGAACAACAAAACCACACTTTCTGTGACTGCTTGATTCAACCCTTAAACCCTTGCTTCAGACAAGGTGGGGTTTTGGATTTTGGGTTTCGCGTTCAAGGCAGTACCCTTTAACCCCAAACTCAACCATAAACCCTAAGTCCTTAGACCCCTTAAACCCTAAACCCTAGACGCCCATAAACCCCTAAACCCTAAACCCTAGACTCCCATAAACCCCTAAACCCTAAAGGCAAAAGGGAAATGGGCCTCCACGGCCCCGCTCAGCAGCGCGCCAAGCGCGGGCACCAAGCCCTGCGTCCGCACCGGGAGTTTGCCCACTTGGGGCTTCGAGCTCAGTAAGTAGGGTTTAGGGTTTAGGGTATAGGGTTGGGGGTATAGGATTTAGGGTTTAGGGTATAGGATTTGGGGTTTAGGGTATAGGGTATAGAGTTCAGGGTATAGGGTTTTGGCTTTTGGGTAGCGGGTTTAGGGTATAGGCTTTCGGGTTTAGGGTTTAGGGTATAGAGCTTAGGGCTTACTTAAGGGTTGGATTCAGGCATGGGGTTTAAAGCCCAGGAGACCTCGTAAGTAGGGCTAGAAGTGCCCTAAGTAAGCCCAGAGAGCCCAATACCCCTTAATTAAGGAATATTCCTCAAATCATGCTCGGGATCCTACTATAATTTAAGGTATATTCCTTAATCAAGGGGTATTGGGCTCTCTGGGAAGTTCTCCTAATTACAAACTAACTTCACCCTCCAGGCTTTCTGCATTGGGCGTTTCGAGGGCAAAGCATTCAGCGGGTGGGGCCTATATCTTAGGTTCTTTAGAAACCCTAAGAGTGACTACCATAGCGCCCTTACTACTGTTGGGTTTTGGGGCCCCTTGTACTATACGTATGATAAGGAACCCCTCAAAATAGCATAGCAACTATTAAGACCCCTACAGCAACGGTTTATCCAAAGACCAACAACCCAAGGCCTAGGTTGGCCTTCGGGACATTTTAGATTGGCCCTTGTTGGGTGTGACATGCTCTTCGTTACGAATGTTCTTCAAAGGCTTCGATTTAAAACGACCAGCCGAGAGCCTAAAGGTGTAGGAAGTTTAGGGATAGTAGGGTTCACCATGTATCAAGTTTAGAGTGTATAAGCTTAAGGATTTGTGGGTCCAGGGTTTAGAGCGTTCAGGACTTGTCGGGTGCATGGTCCATGGGGTGTGTGAATGCAGGCAAAAGATCGCCAAAAAAGGAATGCCAAATTGCACTGCTTGCGGTGCGACATGTGCTGGATGCTGATCAGGACTCACCCACAAGAGTTGGACTACAGAAGGTGCTACATGCAGTTGCCGAACGTATCTTGCAGCTGTGCCTCATCCTTGACTTGCTGGAAAAATTGCTCGTCTCACAGAATAAGCATTGTCAGGCGAGGAATTTTGTTCGAAAGCCCGCCCTGTTGCCTCAAGTCCTCTTGCTCCTGATCGTGGATCTGCTTCCGCAGTCGCGCGACCACTACCACATCCACCAGTTTCCTTTCCTGATTGATAGTCCTCTGTAGCTTACATTGAAAACCCAGCATCTCGATTCTTTGGGCTTCCTGGACCAATGCTTGAAACCCTCAACCCTAAAGGCTCCAATATAGGGGCCTTAATAATTAGAATAGGGTTTTGGGGCCCATGATATGATACGGTACTTATAATAACGAGCCCACAAAATAGCATTGGTAATTATTTAAACCCCTATACTAAATCCTTATAACCGCCCTTAGAGTAGCCCTTATAGACCCCTGTATAAGGAACCCTTAAAGGAACCCTAGGCCCTTAAAAGCATTGGTAATTATTTAAACCCCTATACTAAATCCTTATAACCGCCCTTAGAGTAGCCCTTATAGACCCCTTTATAAGGAACCCTTAACCCTAAACCCTGAACCCTAAACCCTAAACCCTTAAACCCTAAACCCTAAACCCTTAAAGGAACTCTAGGCCCCCTGAAAGCTGCAGCTCTAGGCCTTCCCTCCTCCCCTGCCTGGCCCTCTGGAGATGGACTGCGGCTCGAGCTTCGAAGGGCCTTCAAAGAGCTTTTGGGGAGATGATGGGAGTAGAGGTTTAGCGTGTTAGGGTTTGGGGTTTAGGGTTTGGGGTTTAGGGTTTGGGGGTTTAGGGTTTAGGGTTTGGGGTTCAGGGTTTAGGGTTCAGGGTTTAAGGTTTAGGGTCTTGGGTTTAGGGTAGGTTTCGGGGCTGGCATGTGATGCTGGGCATGGTGTGCGCCACTTCATAGTAAGGTGCGCCATCATAAACTGATGCTCTAATACTGTTGATGATGTGACTCCCGCATTGCCCATAATAAGCAACATACTGTTATTTCCATAGCTATATCAAGGCACGTCCCAGTAGAGTTTGTTCTGCCTTTGGGCTCATGCTATCCTTTCCTAGTCAGAGACTCCAATATCCCTTAATTAAGGAATATGCCTTAAATTATAATAGGATCCTTAATATGATTTAAGGAATATTCCTTAATTAAGGGATATTGGAGTCTCTGGGTAGTCTATCCTACCATCTGCTACCCAATAACACGCAAATATGCGTTCAATGGTTGTGGCGTGATGTATGCACAGACAAATCAATGGCATGATGCTGTGAACCCTCCCCTTAAGCCCCGAAACCGCAACCTTAAGCCTAACCGACAGAATCCCCGGCCCCTGAACCCTAAACCCCAACCCCTTAGACCTAACCTTAATCACCCAAACCCTGAACCCTTGAACCTTTCACTCTCAATCCCCTCAATCCCCAACGTTAGGCCCTCAACCTTTTCACCGTAAACCCACCTCAATGAGCTCCGCGACGGGGCTCTCCCCGGCTCCCGCCAGAACCAGGGAAAGGGCGGCCACACCCCGGAGCACCATGATGGCCACAAGGGAAGACGGGGGGGGGGCTTCCGGCACTTGGAGGTTTGAGAGCTGTTGAGGGTGTAGGGTTTGAGGGTTAAGAGGTTTGAGGTTTAGAGTTGAGTCCAAGTCGCAAACTCGCATTGGACTAAGGATCAAGCCCTTGCAGCCCAGCAAGCTTTCTTAGCTGGAGTTTAGGGTTTAGGTTTCACGGATTTGTCCTGAAGCTTGAATCAAAAGAAGGAGTGCGGATCAATGCAAAAGCTGGAAGGATCAATTGTCTTCAGTGCTACTACTTGTTGTTGTTGCATATCTTCACTGGATGTCCTACAATAATCTCTGTTCGTCTCGTGGGCACCTCTGAAAACTAAGAGTTCAGTTCTGAGCTCCAGAGCCAAGAGCCCACACAGCAAAAACGCCAAGAAGGGCCTTCGGCACTCGCAGTTCAGAGCTCAGAGTCTTAAGGTAAAGAGTATTGTCAGGGTTTATATAGTGGCTCTAGACTTCATTCAAAGGGGAAAAGGATGGACCCTTAATGGGGACCCCTACCCTATAATGGGGCTATATAAAGCGTATATACTAGCTATATTAAGGCTATATACCGTGGGGGTCCTCATTACGGGTCCCTCCTTTTGCCCTTGGATTCATAAGATGGAGGCTTCAGGTTGAGGGTGTAGGGTCTAGCGTGGCCTTCAGGATTGAGGGTTTGAGGGAAGTAGATCGAGGTACGGCCCAAGAAGAGCATGGATGCATGGAAAGCACAGCAGCGTAGAGATCTCTAAACGGAATAATTCGACAAGCTAAACTCCTAGACACCCGAATCTCAAGCCCACAACTCCAAAACCCTCAACCTCGGAAAGAATCGGAAGTCCCTCATCATCCCTCTCTGACATTTCACATCCCTGCAGCCTCTCAACTCTGAACCCAGATGGGAGATTGAGAGAGTGTGGTACCCTAGTCACCCTAGTGTATACCACGGGAACGATAAGATCCATCAGAAAAGACCCTCATATTTTGAAAAAACCCTAAACCCTAAACCCCTCACTAAACCCCTAAACCCCAACCCCCAAACCCTAAACCCTAAACCCTAAACCCCTAAACCCTAAACCCCTAAACCCCAACCCCCAAACCCCTAAAGCCTAAGAAACCTTGAGGTTTCCCCCGATGCCCCAAACACCCGTTTTGCCATCGGCCAAACGCAGCAGCGGCTTAGGCTGCCTGCAGCGTCCTGCACTGCGGAGGGGTTCAGAGGTTCAGAGGTTCAGGGGTTTAGGGGTTCAGGGGTTTAGGGGTTCAGGGGTTTAGGGGTTTAGGGTTTAGGGGTCCAGGCACCAATGTTGGAGGGCTTCGTCCGAAGAAGCTGAAAACCTGGGGGCCTTAACACTTAGAATAAGGCTTTTGGGGGGCTTCCTTCGGAGGCCTCAAAAGGAGGGATGAAGGTAGGTAGGATTAAGGATCCCTTATATAAGGACTCTTATCTGGGAATATCCCACCTACCTTCATCCCACCTTTTGAGGCCTCCGATTCCTGATGTATAATTTCAGTCTAACGTACCCCGAAACCCTCTTCGAACTATCAAGGCCCCTCCCTCAACTCTAAACCCTAAACCCTATGTTGAGTTGGAGTTCTACAGTTGGGGTTCTACATTGCTCCAGTGCGACGACAAGCGCTGTGGTCGGCCACCCCACGCGTCCGAAGAAAGTCTTCAAAGCCAAAGGCAACAAGACTGACCCTAAGTTCCAGTGCAGAAGGCATAGAAGCGAAGAAGAACCAGAAGCACCAAACCCTTACAGCCTCAGTCTCGACCTACACTAAGTCATCCCGGTCCCGAACCCCTAGATTCTCCGGGATTTTAAGGGTCGGGCTCGAGGGTGTATCGACCTGCCGAGGGTTCTACAAGGGTTCCTCTGAAGCTTGGCTATAAATGTTTGTGTAAGGGTGCTATAAGGGGGTTTCCGAAAATAGGTGGCAAGTAGGATCCTTGTTATAAGGGCCCAAAAATAAGGTACCCCCAATTTTCGGAAACTCCCATAAGGATCAGAAATCACACTCTTACCTCGCAAACCCTGAACCCGACGAAGCTCGCCGCGAGACAAGCCTCAACATCTGCAAGGCCCCAGCGTCCTTGAGGGCGGAGGGCGAAGTGCTCCCCAGCTGACATTGGCAACGAAGCCTTCAGCAAAGATGCCCCTCCCGAGGATCATCTCCATGCCTGAGGCTGTGCTGCCTAGGGCTTCGTGGTTGGGGTTTAGGGTGTCAAGATTGGGGGCTTAGGGTGTAAGGCTTTGGGCTTGTACTGCTGGAGGATTTTGGTGAAAGGCTTCTCAAAAGCCAGCAAATGGGAGTTTCCGAAAATTAGGGGTACCCTATTTTGGCGTCCTCATAATTCGGATCCTACTATTTAGGGTACTCTATTAGGGTCCCCTATTTCCGGAAACTCCCACATGGAAACAGTACAAGGGCTCGGCTCCGGGAATGAACGGTTTGGGGACCCTGTCGCAATCTGCTTCTGACATACTGTTGATGATATGAACCCTGCATTACCTCAAGGACCCTAAGCTATGGGGAGTATGGTATATTCCTTGCTATGGGTAATGCAGGATGTATATCATCGACCGTATCGATAGCCCGGCAAGAAATCCTTTCTTGGACCCTGAGCCCTACACCCCGAAAACCCAAAATCCTTCTTCCTTGAGCCCCAACGCCAAAACCCTACAACCCCAAAACCTTAAAACCCTAAAAGCCCTAAATTCAAATCCCAACTCCAATCTCAACATGGAAAGTCCGAGCCCACAAGACCCCAAGCCTGTATATACTCTGAAGTCTACAAAACTCGCCAAACGGAAGCCTAAAGTCGAGAAAAAACTTTGAAACTACCCTCAACTCTAACCAAACACAATTGCAGTGACAGGGGGCGGCTCGCCACCCCACAGTTCATGAGTCGCCGGTCCAGTGGGTAGGAGCCTAGTTGTAACGTTTATGCAGGGTTTAGGGTTTAGGGTTTTGGTAACTTTTGAAGCGGGGTTTTAGTCATTTGTGGTGCAAATGTTGGTCTTGGGCTCTTGGCCTAAAGCATGTAAAAACATCTGGCGTTTCGGGGCTCGTGTTAACTAAGCTGGCTTTGTCACAGGCCATTTAAAAAGCTTGGATATGCTTGATGAAGCAAGACACGAATGTGCCACTGCCTGGGCCGACTTTAGGTCGCCTCCCAAACCCTACAAACCGCCCATTGCCCAAGGCCCCAATCTGCAAACCCAGCGCCGTTCCTGAAACCCCCGAATCCGGCTACAGATCCTAAACATCCATGCCCTCAGCCACCGAAAGTTTGCACTGAAGCCCTCCCCTCCAAGTCGTCGCAACCGCGTATCCTTAGTCGGATTGAATACATGATCTAGTCATGTGCTTTGTGCAGGGCTACACCTGCACAAATAACTCAACTCGATGATCGAAATCCTACAACCCCCAAACCTAAGGCCCTAAACCCTACAACTCTGGAACCCTGAATGCAGCGAGCTTTATCCAACACGCAAACTTCGAATTCAGCACCCGACAAGCCCAAATGTGCACCAACGAGCTAAATCAGCCCTCAGACACAAGCCAAGAAAAACCCTTTATCAAAGCCTTTCAATTCCCGGAAGAAAAACAACTACAGGAAAGAACCAAAACTTCTAGATTCCTCAACCGTCTTCCGGCCCGGGACGATAGGCGCCGCCCCTTCGCAGCGTCATAGCCAGGGCGGCCTGCGGAATGTAAAAGGATGCCTTTAGCGGCAGCATGTATATAAGCTTTGGGCCCTAGGAAGAGGGACAGTAATAGACCATACAAGCCTCTTTGGGGCTGTAGGAGTTGAGAGCACAGGGCTTAGGAAAGATCGTAAGTCTGGTTTAGTAGAGTTTGGGGTTTGTTCAGGCTTTTCGGTTTCAGTTCTTGGCCTTTGCTGTTGCATGTCTTTTGAGGGGGAGTTTTTGTGGCTCTGACAGAATGAGCACGTTGTTCAAAACTTGCGGCTTTCAGGGGTTTCGGAGAACAGAACAGAGTTCTTCGGTGCAGGAGCTCGGGCGTTGAGTTTAGAGTGTCCGGTGTGCGAGTTTATGACAAGCTCGAAGAAAGACCCAAGTTACGCATAAGGAGAGTTACAAACATGCGTGTAATCGTAGTCGGGAAGGAACTACGAAGTATTGTTTACGAGGTTCACCATCGCCCCAGCACAACTCTCAAACCCTAAACCCTAAACCCCTCAACCATAAACCCTTAACCCCTAAACCCTAAACCCCTAAACCCTAAACCCTAAACCCCTAAACCCCTGAACCCCTGAACCTCTGAACCCCTGAACCCTCAACCCCTAAACCCTAAACCCTAAACCCCTGAGCTCCTAAACCCTAAACCGTGAACACTGCCTCGTAATCAAAGTTCCCCTCCTGATCTCGGAGCTTTTCCCTGTCAGCTGCGAGCTCATCCTCGTCACTGTCCTGGTAACACCATAGTACCATGTGGATTACTAGAATAGTTACTATGATACTATATTATACTAGCTGATACATCCTAGTAGTTGCTAGATACCATCTCACCGAGAATCCGGAACTCCTCGACCCTGAGATCAAAGTTTACTACGCAAGACGCAAGACGTGAGGGCCCAAGACGTATCTGTTCTTTATTCTCTGATGGCCACAGCATGAATACTGAATACTGTCTTTGTCATCCTGCTTCATGTTGCGATGCTATGCATGTACGTCCCTCCTCGTAACGCTCCTTCACGCCAGGTCGGTCTGTAAACTCGAGGGGCTGTGACTTGCTGAGGTGTCGGGCGTCACGCGACTCCTCCTCGCCAGTAAAATAATACCATGCACAATCGAATCGCCGATCCGGATCTCCCTGAAAGCTGTCGGCCGGACATAGATCATGCAGCTGATCCTTGCACTTCTCATCACTGTGGACAGCCACCCCCTCTGCCAATACTTCCGCGGGTATAGCGTTCGTCCTGACATTGTGAATCGAAATTGGGAAGCGTCGATATCCCTCGCGAAGCGAGTACGCAGGGCCGATGGGAATAAACTTGCCCCGCTCAGCGAGAGAGAAGTAAATCGTTGGCCGCGCCAATGGAGATGTGTTTGCCGCTCCACGGTGCAAGGTACGCGAATCGTAAATCACAACAGTTCCCTGTGGTACAGCTAAACGCGCGAAGGGCACGCTGGTCATCAAATCCTTTTCTTCATCGTCCAAGAACTGATAGTGTGTGTGCGTGCCTGGCACGACATCTAGTGGCGCCGAATCGGGTCGGACATCATCAAGGTAAATGAAGGCAGAAAACATACGACCCAAGGAGCGCAGCTCATCTATTGAGGTGGCAGAAGAATCCGAATGAAATATCTGGGGGCCTGCACCGGAATAAGTTGTCAAGGATGAGAACTCCACCAAGCTTGAGTTCGGGCCTAAAGTCGCTGTAAACAGGGGATCCAACAGTCCCAAGGTTTTGTTCAACAACTCCAAGGCAGGTCCCCTCATCGGAAGCGCATAATCCTTGCGGTACTTGTTGTCACGTATGTTGCTGAAGGTTGCCCAAGGTGATAAGATCTCTGCGTGAACAAACTCGGCCGCCAGGCGACATTCCATCGGTCGGTGGAGGTCTCTGATCACCTATAGGGTTTAGGGTTTAGGGGACTCCACTATCCCTTAATTAAGGAAGAGACCTTAAGTGAGAAAAGTATCCCTAATATAAGTTTAAGGAATGTTCCTCTGGGTTGTAGTTTTGGGGTTCTGAAAAGTATTTCTGAACAGGTGCCTCTATAGGAACCATAAGAGAAATTAAAAAGTTTCCCAAATTGCCACCTAGTCACAACCACACCATGCTCATCCAAGCGTTCCGTCAAGCGTCTCACCGTAGAAGGACTTAATCGTTCACTCAAAACCTCCTCTGGCTGGATCACCACACTCAACAGCTCTACTGCCAAGCCTACCAAAGGGTGCTCCTTCTTCGAATCTTTGCTGGTAAAGCCCATCTCTTCTTGCACTGCTTTTCCCATCAACAACTCACTGACTTTTTGACGGAAAAACAGCTGCCCCACCTCAGCTATCTCGCGAGCAGTCAGCTCGTAAACCTCAGTCGTCAGCGAACTGCCAGGCCCCTGTGTTTCTTCGGGTTTTCGCCATGGATCACATCCGACTCCTTTGGAAATCAGCTGCTGTACAAGGACAGCGTTCAGCACAATAGAAATACAGCTCACCACGAACCAGAGCATTGCATGTCAATGTGCTCGGGGTGTGAAATTAAAAGAGGACATAACCGCGTGTTTGCTGGCACAATGCTTTGACGCAACAACCACATGCGGCTGTGCACTTGCGGGATCTTGAGCCATGTCCACCCACATCAGCCTTCTTGTTCTCTAGCTAAGCTTCCATCAAACCCATCTGGCACATTTCATTCCAGTATGATACGATCGAATCGGACGCATTTCAAAAGACGAAGTCATGCAAGCAAGCTGCCAAGCAAAGCTTCTTGAAAAAAGGTGAATGCCAAAGACATGCAATTTCTTCACAAATGCCTCCAACCAGCATCACTGAAGCAGCGGAAACCACATGATTTTTGTTCCCCCACCAAGGTCCGATGAGAGAGGGCAGGCATGTATATGTCAAGGGGAGGCGTCGGCAGCCACGTTCAACGTAGGCTGCTCATGCCAACTATAGGCAACTAAGCAAAATGAAAGCTTCTGCATGGAGAAATGTCGTAAATGTCCTACATGTCGGAGAGATGGTCGTTTGACCAGTATTACACTCCGCGACATGTCAGAAATCAGCAGAAAAGCAATCCCAAAGCAAGTAGAGCCGTGGCTGGAGCTTGCTGGATCATGGCGTAGCTCGCTTCAATCACCACCGTTGTAGTTGCATCGGTCGTGGTCGTCGTCTCCGATGATGTGGTCGTGGTTGATGTAGCTGCTGTCGTGGTGCTTGTGGTGGTGGTTGTGGTTGTGGTTGTGGTTGTGGTTGTGGTTGTGGTTGTGGTTGTGGTGGTGGCTGTGGTTGTGGTGGTGGTGGTTGTCGTAGTCGTGGTCGTGGTGGTGGTGGTGGTTGTGGTGGGCAGGTTGAACACCACGAAGCTGTCAGCGATCTTGTTACTCATAAAAAGATGGTCCCCAGCGATCTGCACGCCGTAAGGACCGTCAAGCTGCGCCATGTCCTGGATGGAACCTGCAATGGTGATGTTGTTTGCATTGGCGATGTTGATCACCGTCAAAGCGTCGCCAAGGTGGGAGGTCACGTAGGCGAAGCCCTCGCGGATCGCAACTGACTCGGCTCCGTTTAGTAGGTCGCCGTCGTACACGGAACTCTCGACGGTAAGGTTGTGTGGGTTCGCAATGTTGACCACAACCACACTGTCCGCGTTGTAGCTGACCACGTAGGCAAAGTCGCCCGCGACAGCAACTCCTCTGGGTCCATCCATTACCGAGTCCCCGACATGACCTGCGATAGAAAGGTTGCTTGGGTCGGCAATGTTCACCGCGACAAGAAGATCCTCGTAGGAGGCGGTTACGAAGGCATACTCTCCAAGAATGTCAATGCCATAAGCACCATCAAGCAAGCCGTCTTTGAGGTAACCTGCGATGGTGAGGTTGCTCGGGTCTGAGATGTTGACCACCGTCAGAGCGTCATCGGACCGCGCTGCCACGTAGGCAAGGTCCCCGACGATCTTTAGAGACTTCGCTCCGTTAAGCCTGGTGTCCGTGATCGAGCCTACAATGGCGAGGCTGGTTGCGTCGGTAATGTTGACCGCCACAACACCGTCATAATCGCTGCAAGCCACGAAGGCGTGGCCCCCCGCCACGGCAATGTCGAATGCACCGTTGAGCAGGCTGCTGTCTGTGACGACGCCCAGAATCGTGGGGTTACTTGGGTCGGCAAGGTTGAGGGCAGTCAAGGAGTCCTCTCCCGTCGCGAAAGCATAGCTCCCAGCAACCACGAAGTTTTGCACAGCCTCGAGCTCCTTGGTCTCGTGAGCAAAGGCTTCGATGGTGAGGTTGAGTGGGTCGGAGATGTCGACCACCGTCAAGGCATCAGCGGTATATGCGGACACATAGGCAAGGTTCCCCACGATGGAAATGCCATGCGCTCCATCGAGGTGCTCGCCGCTGATGCTGGCCACTATTACGGGGGAGGTTGGGTCTGAGATGTTGACCACCGTCAGGCCGTCAAAGGTTGAGGCGGTCACGAAGGCAAAGCCCCCGACGACCTGAACCTCTCTGGCCCGATTCAAGCGATTTGGACTGTTGCTCGAGTCACTGAGGCCGGCCACGACCGCAGGATTGCTCAGATCGGAAATGTCGACCACCGCAAAATAGCTACCTTGGGCGATTGCCACATATGCATAGTTCCCCACCACGTCGAGACCTTCGCCTCCATTGAGGACCGTGCCGTCCTGGACAGTCCCGGTCACTGTAGGGTTGGTCGGGTCGGAGATGTTGACCACCGTCAGAGCGTCACCGGAATAGGCTGTCACGAAGGCGAGGTCCCCGACCACCTTCACACCCGTCGCTCCGTCGAAATTGCTGTTGGAGATGCTAGCTACCATGGTGAGGTTGCTTGGGTCGGCAATGCTGATCACCACTAGGGCGTCGCCGAGGTAGGCGGTCACGTAGGCGTAGTCTCCAGCCAGCGCCACATGGTCGGCTGCATTGAGAAGAGTGCTATCGGAGATGGTGCCTACCACGTTGAGGCGGCTCGGGTCGGAAACGTTCACCGCAGTGAGACCGTCGTAGCTGCTGCAAGCCACGAAGGCAATGTCTCCAGCAACTTGCACACCTCTGGGGTTGTCCAGCACCCAACACTGTCGGAGTGCTAGGGTTGGCGATGCTGAGAACGGTGAGGCCGTCATCCGAGAAGCCAGTGACGTAGGCGCGGTTCCCCGACACTGTGAGGTGGTAGTTGCCATCCATGTGTGCAGGACTTGAGACGTACCCGGCAAGGCCTGTGATGCCAGGTATGGTTTGCCCATAGGCACGGGCGGCCCACACCATCGAAGTCAACATGAACAAAGTGGCCATAGCGCGCTACCTGGGGAAGGCACTGCTAGCTGAGGCTGCTTTACAACCTGGTTGAAAACCTTATGAGCAGCAAATGCTGCATCAGACCATCAATCGAAGCTGGCGGATATGTCGACCATGCCGGGCCAGCGATCGAAACATGAAGAGGTGCTTGGCGATTCCTTTTTGGGCGCAGCCAAGAGAGCCCGGCTTTTGCGTAGGTGCCGATATCAGGGTCACTCTTTGGAGGGCCCTGCATTTAAAGCATTTTTCTACATGAATCTCTTATTGGGCACTCTGGGAAACCAGAAGCTGCACCCACAGAGATGCAGATCAGAACTTCGAGCCACCCAGGAAAAGGGGCTCACACGCAGGATGTGGCAGACCTATAAACAAACAGTTTGTATGCATACAAAAATAGAAAGATATACACACATGAATGTTACATACATATACATATATATATATATATGCATATGTATGTAAACTATATCATATATATATATATGTATATATACACACCATAAAATATATATATATATACATACATACATACATACATACATACATACATACATACATACATACATACATATACACATACACTTTGTTATATATATATATATATATATATACACAGACACCAGCAGCCGCGTGGGTCACTAGGCCGAGGACTGCCATCTCCCGCGGTGCACCAAGACAGGAAGCTACGTTCTAGCTTTCCAACTGTGATTGATGCCCTAAGCCTTCACCTGAGAAGCACGGCACCGTAGTGTCGGCATCGGCGACGAGCGGGAGTGCCTTCACTTCCATCGCCCTGATGTGAAAGATGTACCTGCACATCGATTGGAATGCCCCAAGCAGGCTTTCCTCATGACTTGCTCGGCCATGTGCATTCCGTCTAGCATGCGGTAAGGCTCAAAATGCGAAGTTGCACTTACATACAAAGACCAAGCTGTTGGACAAGAGCCATCGGAAACATAGAAGCACCTGCAACAGCTCGAAACCTTATCCTGCATGCACTAACGGTTCTAATTGCGTGCCGTAAAACCTGCACATGCACAGGTCTCAAGGACTCCCAGACATCCTGATAATGTGTCTGCAACTCCTCACCCTCCGTCTTCTCGACCCTAAACCCTAAACCCTTGGCCTCATCGCCTTTGGCACCCCGTGGAGCTTTCCCTGCTGTGCCAGCTCCCATGTCTTAGCCGAGGCACTGAAGAAGATATGGCACTCCGGGTGCAAGTTGAGGAAGTACAGGAACCTCGGGCTCTGACAGGAGAGCTCTTCTATTCCTTCCCGTTCTTTCAGGCCTGCGACATGGAGAACCTTGATTGTTCAGGGCGTAAACAAGGCTTACTTCAAAAGGAACTGGCACCACGCCGCGAAGATGCCTTCGCGAGACCTTCAGCATGTTTTTCATGCAAGCCCAACATGTCAAGAAACCAGCAACGGTCAACGGGTTTGGCAAGATCAGCTCGCTGGCAGGATCCAAGCTATCCCAAAATCCTGTGATTGGGCCAGGACCCCCTGGAAATAGCTTCGATTGTTGCTTTGGCCTTTTGCCGGCACGCAAATTTGGTCAGTCTGAACCTACGAAACACACCTGAAACTCTTGGCACTGAACGTTGTCTTGGTCGCGGTGGGAAGCAGGTCAAAAGAACCTGCGTTTCCCTGTGGACACAATGGATGCCCTCCCGGCTCTGTTCTTCAACTATCAAAGCCAACAATCACGTTCCTGCAGGGCCTGAGACACCGACATCTAGGCTGAGATCAGTGCAGCCAGGTTACCGACCATCACGGCACATACGGACTTGGCAAGGAGTGTCTCCGGAGGCTCTGAGTCTACTCAGACAGGCCTTGGGCAGGCAAGGCTCAAGAGACTCCCACCCTAAAGCCTAAACCCTAAGCCCTAAACCCTAAACCAAGAGGCTCCCGGGACCTCGACCCGTCTTTGTCAGATCTGACAGCAGCCTGGCCTCGCCCCGCCGACGAAGCGGTGCAACAACAGGAACCTGCTCCGGGTGTGCAGGGTTTGGGCTTCAGGGTTTAGGGTTTAGGGTTTAAGGTTTAGGGTTTAGGGTTTAGGGCTTAGGGTTTAGGGTTTCGGGGTTAGGGGTTAGGGTTTAGGGCTTAGGGTGGACACTTCAAACTCCTCACAGAAAGCATTCTGCCGAACAGGTGAGGGTCTCTAAAGAGTTATAATTTGTTAGGTTGACAGTTAGTGATACTGGAGACTTGGTGCCCTAGGTTGGGGCTGCAGGGTGACGTCGTTCAAAAGTACGATCCTTTGACTTAGAGTTCTTGGGGCGGTTTAGGGTTTAGGGGATGACTTCTGTTTCTTGGGGACGATATCCCAAGCCCGCAGTCAAATACGTCTGCAAAGTTCAAGCCGGCAGAGCCTCGACATCAAGTGCCATCTGGCCTTCGCTTCTCTCGGATCATCCTGGCAGGTCGGATGTATCGACGTTTAGGGTTTTGGGTTTAGGGTTTGGGGTTTAGGGTGGTTTAGGGTTGAGGGTTTAGGGTTTCGGGCTTAGGGGTACAGTACGAGTGTTGCGCGGCCTCGTCCTGGACGACCTCCTCTGGGAAGAAGAGCCTCACCTGAGCGTCGAGTTTCTTGAACCGGGCTCCAGACAGGAGTTTCCCCAATTTAGGGGTACCTTATGTTGGGTCCTTACAAGAGGGATCCTATACTACTTAGGCTACTATCTTAGGGTCCGCTACTTTCGAACACTCCCAGACCAGTCTGACCGTTGCCTCCACGAGCTGGTCGACGGGCGTGGCGAAGCCAGCAGGCCTCGGCTTTTCACGGAACCCAGAGAGCCCAATACCCGTTAACTAATGAAGGAATATAGCTTAAATCATAACACATGGCCCCGTAAAGTTTAAGGCATATTCCTTAATTAAGGGGTATTGGGCTCTCTGGGAACATCGAAAGCACCGGACCCTTCAGCAGCAAAACTTCTTCCGGTGCCACCAAGAAGGGCTGTTGGACCTAACTCACGCCCTTGCGACTACACTATAGGTCAAGACGTGAAAGTTGGACATGCCGTCGTTGAAGGCTGGCGGCTCTCGTAACATGTCGATCCGTTGGTCACGTGACCCATCCTGCGGAGGTGAGAGCAGCGACATGCAGGCCCAGAGGCCGTACATCTCGAGTTCAGCTCAGAAGTCAAAAACGTCTGATGAGCAATTGACCCTGCCTGCTTCCAAATCCAGGCGCCTCCACTGGACTGACAAGGACTCATTCGCAAAATGCACAAACCTGTGGGCACCACCTGCTTCTTGGGGACCTCGTCGGCACCATCGCCCACCATAGCCTTCAATTCACACAAATCTGCAACCTGCACCTCATTCCCTTGATTGGTCACTCACAGCGCCCGAATTGTTGCCTCCGAATGCCTCGTGCACCTAAGACCCCTGCTTTCGAACCACAAACAACAGCTGCAGAACTATGAAATCGTTTTTTACATGGACGCAACAAGGCCTCGAGGAAACCCGGATTTGTCAGCATCTGACAGCTTTCTGTAACACCGGTGGAGTGTAAACCAGGATTGGGCGTGACAGCCACTTTGGTCACGTTGCATGTTGCCGTCGCTGTCCAAACACGATGCCCCTGCATTCACGCTTTCTGCATCAGATGAATCTGGGTCCCCTGTAGCTGAAACATGCATGCTGATGTCTGAAAATCATGGGTTTCTTCAAACCGATTGTTTGACGGTTACGCGTGGTTGTTTTGCAGTATTGCAACATGGCCGGTGGAGCCTTGGCAATTTCGCACATGAGGCTAACCGAACAACGACATCCATCTTTTTGGCCCGTTGCAAACAAATCTGCACAATGCCGTCCTGACATGTTCACATGCAGCGCTAGTACCAAGCACCCCAAAGGAATCTAGACAAACATGCTCTAGCAACATGTTTCTGCAAAAGTCGGCGGGGACTAACTAGAATACCGTTACAAAATGAAAACAAAACAACATCACGGAAGAAACACATGCCTCTATGAGCATCCTGGGCCCGCCGGCCTCCGCGAGCTTTCGACCCGATCCGCGGCGGCCACAAGGTCGCGGCCGGACAGACACTGAAAACGACAACGTACACAATCTCAAGCCACACATAGGTAACGCACGTGCCTGTTTTGATCGCAAGGAAGACAGGGACAAAACGCACTGCGAGGCCGAAAAAATTATGTGCTCTGTACCAGACCCGTAAACACAACCCCTTCAAAAATACGCGGGAAAAATGTTACTGCAAAAATCCGCGGGCCCAAGTCCAATAGCTCTTATTGCGACACCTAACGAAGTTGACTAGGCATCTCCGGCACTGCTCACAAACAGGAAGAGAGTCACGATAGAACAGAAAAGAAAGTGACTTTTCCGCCGCAATTTTGCGAAATTGAATGATTTGAGCCTTTGTGTTCCCAATCAGAACATGTTGTGACACTTCACCGCGTCAGCGAGGATCCCCGACATGATTCGACAAGATCAGAATGCCACCGAAGAAAACGGAAATCAATGATGAAGATCTGACATTTTTAAACATTTTACCAACGTCACTTCATAATCCGTTGAACACACACGGCACGGGCTTCCCTCATTTTCCCGCTGACTCGGAAGTCTTGAGCCGCGGTGTGACGAACGGAGTAATCCTAGTAAAACATGCTAAATTGGGCATACACAGGAAATTGAAATGTTTGTTACGCCCTCATCGACTCAGGTTGCATTGTGCAACTTGATTCGATCTTCAAACATTCTTGTACCATCCATTTCATTTCTCGCATGCTCTTTCGAGCCTTCAGCTTTATCACACGCTTCTTATAAGCATCTTCTTCCTTCTTGAAAAACTGCAAAGTGTTTTCAAGCACTCTTGTGGGCCTCGGCCTCGGTTGCGTCCAAGCATTTAGATCATCATGAGCTCATGTCATGCATGACCTACGAAAACGTTCGACGTGAAAAGTGGAAAAGCCTAAGGCAAAACACAAATCACAGTACATGATAAAACCTGCAAAAGGAGGGGATGCAAAGCTTCATCACCCCGCCTGAGTGTCCGCATGCAGCTTAGCGCATGAGACGCTCACGAAACTCTTGCTTTTGGCATCGAGCTGATTTTCAGCATTAGCCGTAGCGCTTAAAGCACTTACCGCATGCACTGTACCTAGTCGTGTTAGCCTTGTCTCGCACATAGACACAACCGACTTTGTGATACTTATCACCGTACTTCGTACTGCACACATCATTGGGCTCATTCGCAATCACTTCTTTCAACTCACGATTCTCTTTCCACAACATGAAAAGAGAAATCATCGCCAATGCCGTGAAGTAGTGCTCGGCACTGAAGCTTTGGAGATACTCGACTCCAACGTAAAAGCCAATCAAGGCATTGACGGCGTAGCCATCGACACCAGGAGATGACTTGTCCAAATCCCAGTGTACTCTGAACACAAAATGTCGATGCTCAAGGCCCTGATGACCAAAAGGATCATCCCGAACAATGCGCACAGAGGAAAACCCATGAACCAGCTGAGGAAACTGTTGTTAGTCACCACAGCTTCTGCACAATTCGGTAGCATGAACAATGTAACCAATGCCACACGCTTTGCCATGCTCATTGTCATCATCATGTTGTTCTGTTTCGACACCCGCTGCACCGCTTTGATCTGCTCCGTGACGTTTGCACGCAAGACCATTGCATCATACTCTTCATCACCGACGGCCTGCTCGCTTGTTCCGCTGACGAAACCATGCATGTAGAGAAGAGACCTCAAACGAGCTGCCGAATGCATCTTAGTAGAAAGGTCACCTAAGTTGAACATTGTGCGGATCGGCGACACGCTCAACACATGCTCTCGCACTGCCTGTTGAAGCCACAGGAGACGCCCGGCAATGTGCGGGTGCGTCCCACACCTCTTCGCATTGCCAGCTGCCGCGTGGCAGAGTTGTCAACCTTCAGCTGGAGCTCGCATGGTTCCCGTGACATGAATTCGAAAATGGCCGTAAGGAAAATACCCTCACACGATGCACTGATGGCGGCGTACCTTTCTGATTCCGTGCTCGACATCGACACTGTACGATGGGACCTGCACATGTGGTGAATGATTGCACCGTCCACTGCAAAAGTTGCGGAACCATATGATTTGCGAGTGACTCGGTGGCCACTCCAATCAGCATCCGAATAGATCTCCATGCAATGAACACCAGCGTCCTCAGAAGCTCGAAACACAGTTGATCCCGGAAGTTTGGGCGAAATCACCATTGCATAATCAATCGTTGCCATGCAATACTTGACAAGCTTCACCAATCCACGCATAGCAAGCTCAGTTGGATTCGCCATGAACCCTGCGAGCAATCGCACAATAAAGCACACATCAAGCCTGTCATTGCTCATGTAAAGTGCCACTCCCAATGCCGACCTGAACTTC